CCATCAGATGACTCTATTGCCACTGTTATGCCAACGTTGGAGCGATTTGTAATACTTATGTACGACCAATCAAATGCTGCTTAAAGATGGAATTCCACCGACACATGCTGCCCTTTTACAACACACTAGACGAACTGCATACCACGCTGAGTACTGCTGGGACAGGCGCATTCGCCATCCACAGAACTTCCTTGTCCAAGTAACTGGGGTTGGGTGAAAGGTCAGGAAAATACATGGTAGCCATTCTGGACAACACTACAACATACGAGTCTTGCCAGAAGTCACTGAAGTGTAGCTGTAGTCTCTAGATTGGTTGTCGTGAGAGGTGCAAATGCTCTTTGTCTGTGTGGTGGAAACTGTAACCGAGGATAAACTTACAGGCGAGGTTCAGGGTCAGTGTAATTTATGGTGTAGGTAGTAATACTGGTATATCTTGGTTTGTTAAACCTATCTCTGACTGCAAGCGATACAAAATCAAAATGGACGTAATGAATATATCAAATATACTTTAAAACATAAAAAAAACTTGTTTGTGCATTTGTTGGCCATTTTGGAAGCCATTTTGAAATAAATGGAGCACTTGAATTCAAATCTTATTCGAGATAAATACTGATTTATATGTGTGCAGCATGAAATAAATAAATTTATTAACCATTTATGAATTTATTAAACGTATAATGCCAGTAAGTGTTTAATCTTATGGAAGCCATGTTGGTGGCCATCTTTAAAATGGCGGGAATTTTAAATTCTATAATTAAAGGAATAGTCAAACACAATGCACAAGTGCTGAAGCCACTTGCTTCGGGCCTAAAACACTTATACGCGAGAAATGTGCAAGGCTATTCACTGTGCAGTACAATTAGCAAGAATCCAATAAAAACACTCATTTCAAGTGTTCAGAACTTTTGACTACTTGAAACACAAACCACAAAAAAGGTTGATTGAAATGTTATTCAACGTTCTAGTCAGTGTTCTCATTCCAAGTTTTCAGAACTTTAAACTACTTCAAAAACAAACAACAAGTTGATTATTACGCTGGTCAACGTTCTAGTCAGTTTTCTCTTTCCAAGTGTTTGAAGCATTCAACTTCTTCAAAACCAAACCACAAGTTTGATTATAATGGTACTGAGCGTTCATGTCAGTTTTCTCCCTCCAAGTGCTCAGAACTTTTAACTACCACGAGTTTTATGATAATGTTATTCAACGTCCTAGTCAGGGTTCTCATTCCAAGTGTTCAGATCTTTAAACTACTTCAGAATTTATCCTTTAGGATGATACAAGTGTAAACAATGAACATTCTTGTTCTATTAATATGAACTTACTTCATTAAATTGATTGTTCATCGCATGGTTCTAATTTTGATCCAGTTAATATGTTACATGAATCAAGATACAAAGTATTCCAAATATGTTGAAACATCAAATTTCATTTATTATATAACGATTGTAAACGAAAAGCATATTTAAGTTAGAATTCAATGTTTTAACCTGCTTGGAATACTTTTTTACAAATGACAAGCAGCTAAATGTATGTTAACCTGTGGTAATTTTGAAAATTTTGTTGGCACAAAACATGTCTACCTAGCAATTTTAATGTATTTTTTCACGTTTGATAATCCATTTATCGTAAATGAATATAGATGACTCAATATTTTAAAGGTTACTTAAAGATATGTCTGTTGTGCTATGTTTGCAAGTTTAAGTATGAAAATATGTCTGATATTAAAAAATGTGACAGTAAAATGTTGACTGTGTCGGGTAAACACGCACGCTACGTCGACGTAAACGGGTGGTGGATAGTGATTTTGTTCTTGATGACCAAGGTGGTGTGATTATTTTATGATAATTTGATCATTTTTGACAAGGCAAATGTGCCGAACGCCTGTGCCTCGAGGTTGGAGATTCCAGGTTCGAACACCGTTCTCGGTTAATGGTTTGCCTGTCTGACTATATTCATAATTATTTTTGTTACATTTAATGATTTAAAAATCAAGTACTTGCAGTAAATGCCAATACGATTTCTTTTCGAATGGTACTTCTCACATCAAATACTTTTATATCAAGATATACAATGAACACTTATGAAATGATAATGTTTGTCCATGATTTACTGCACATTTAACCACAATTGCATGTTTAGATGCATATGAAAAAATCTACAAAGGCCAAAATGACAATATAAGGATTGGTGCATTGATGTTAGTATTTCCAAAACGTTTAAGTCACGTAGTTTTCTTCTAGGAAAACGAACGTATAAGTGTTGCAAATTTTTTGGGTAAAATGACATCGACGTTGTCTGTGTCAGCCAACAGCAAGTTTTATATACCAAATAAAAGTTCGTCTGTAGTCTGTATGTAGTTTCTGGAATGAATATTCATTTAGCTCAAGTTTGATGGCCGCAAAATCCCTAAATATCTTAAAATATCAATGTTGGCTTATATTTCTTTCGACATATGTATTTTGAAGTGAAATTTTGCACGGAAAATGTCATTTAAAGCGTTTTACATTATACGGATAAGCTTTATTGGAGAAAACAAATTGTATTTCTTTAAACATATATAAGCAAAATAATGCTAAACATAAGGGTTCTTACTATGATACACTGTTCAATGTTTAAAGAGAAAAATATGTATTACTTATTCTGTTATTCAGCTAATGCAACTCATGAGAATAATGCTTTAATGTTTTCATATAATATCTGAACAAATATTGTTTGTTATTCAGTAGAAAGACAAATAAAATAGGAGACGCTACTATAAAATATCCTTAAAATGTAAGGTTGTTACTCGTACTTATTTGTTCTATCAATTATTTGCATCTATTAAAAAATAACTTCTTAGATGCATCCATGTAACATATTAACACAATTTACAAGGAATATGGTAATTTGTTTCTGGTTATTCGGGGTCTTTCAAATAAAATGATCTGGAGTTGGACTAAATTTAGGATAGATATCATTTGGTGTATGAACAGTGCAAAGAACAGTAAACCTGTCATGCCTAAGTTTGAAATTATTGCACTTTGAACTTTGTCCGGGACATAACTCTGAAACTTGAAGAGGTATACTCTTCTGTGTCCAAAGGCTATTCGGGGACATCACCCGTTTCAACCGGTTCATGTTTGTATAGATGATACTGCATCGTCCATGTTAACATATGAAAGATTGCACTGATCTTTTTCTATTAATTCATTTATACTCAAATGACTTTCATCATTATGAGGTAATGATCAGTCTACGATTTTTTTTTTCTTGACAGAATATTCTTTATGCTATTCAAATTGGTGAAACTCTATAATGGTCTATAGGGGAGTTTCAAAAGGGCCTTGTAAAATGTTGTTATCTTGCTCTAAATTTAAAGTTATCCACTTCCTCTGGCTGTTTTTGCAGATCTTACATAAATATTTGACTAAACTTTTGTTTGGATGACTCCTTAGTTCTTCTCTTGAGCTGTTAATGTTAATTGGTGTAGATGCTATAAAAAGTAGTAAGTCTGATTTCTTTGGATGTTTGTAGTTTTATTTGTATTCAAATTTCTGGCAAGACGTTTTTGAATGGCTATCTGATTTACTAATCAAGCATATATGAAGTCAGTGTTAGTCTCGTCTAGAACAGCCTTTTTTGTTGCTATAAGTGTTACATATCAGTTCCTCTGTGTGTCACGAATCGTCTGCCGATTTTGTCTTTGTCTTCCATGTAGGAAATTTGGGATGCCCTTGTAGTAGTTGTTGTTGTTGATTATGATTGAGCAAAAAAAATTTAATCGTGATGTACGGACTGGCATTGAAAACATTGTTAAGCCCGGGTAGCTCCCAGTAGCAGATGATAATTTTCTTTATCACGGATTGCCCAATTGATTGGTTTGCATGTCTATCTGCTTTATTACTGGAAAATGCCAAGTGGTCATCGTAAAATATTTTCCCATAAAAGGCATGAATTCGTCCTATATCATTTGTTTCTTCAAAGATTCCGAAACAGTATCCAAGTTTCCAAATTGACTTGCTGGAATGCAATTAGAAGACTGAGCTAGTCTTTAACTAGTCTTTAACTAGTCTTTAACTTCATCTAGATGGTGTTGTTGAAAATGTATTTCTGAAGATTTACCTATCTTAATGTCCATTAAGGTGCCATTACTTGCTGATCCTGTTTCTGTTTCCAACTGCCAAGATCCTCTTGGTTCAGATAATGCATTCACCATCTCAGTGAAGGCTGACATAGTATTATCAAGGGTCGAAATACATATACTTGTGTCTTCGTCTTTTCCTTGTCGAAAAAGTGGCGATCGATGTCGTTCTGTTACGACTCGGAGCTTAATTTGCTTTTCCTTTATGTGAATTCTCTTTATACAGAGTTTTCATTGTACCTTTGTTCATAGATGCGGAAACATTAATTCCTTAATAACATAGATGTTCTCTGTATTCCTTTACGCCCAAGTTGTCTGGCGATGACATGTCAAAAGATTTTCTTCGCGATGTTCTGGTATTCGACGCCATTTTTGTCCGATTTGTAAATCAGGCTCGCTATTACAAGTTTTAATAATGTTCGGTAAAATAGCAATAAATACTGTACAAGAACGGCACTATACGGCTTTTATGTAGTCATTGCTTGTATTTTCGTTGTTTTATAGTAAATAATATCGAATAAATCCGTTTTGTACAAATATTTCAAATTAATGAGCGTGTAGACAAAGAGTACTGTGGAAACCGAGGGGCTTCATACTAATAAGCTGCTGATGCGGTTCTACTTTGTTGATTAGGGAGCTTGGTTGAGTCACGTGATATAAAAAACCGGAAATTTGTCATGTACTGACGATGTTTACATCAAATCGAGAATAGAAATAATTAATATATTGCATAAAATGCGTTAACTATGTAAACTTCAATGAATTTTTTGCATTTTCAAAATGGCGCCAATCCTCGGCAAACATTCTGAACAAGCAGTCCGTGTTTTTCAACAGATCATGACTTTAGTTTAAAGGTCAAATTTAACGATTTTGTTTAGTTCATAATATCAAAGTATGTTACGTAAAAAGAAGATTAAACTCGTTTGCAACATTATAACATTCCGCTTTATACCATAAATCACCAGGTAAAAGTTCGCATAACGCACCGTTTTTTACAAGCTTGTATGAATTACTTCCCTTTGTTGTGACGTCATTGTTGAAATTAGGACACGCCGCCATATTGGAAATCATAGCGAAACTGTAAACAATCACGGGTCATTTAACTTTAAACACTGCTACTATTTAGTAAACTCATGGATTTCTCTGACGAGTCGGAACTTTATGAGGACGATGTCCATGAAATACGACCGTATATGTTTGAACCAAGAATTGAAATCCAGAATCAGGAAGCAGAGCAGAGCGAGTCTGACTCTGACTCTTCCGACAACAGTTCTGATGATTCTTACATCGGAAACGTAGATGATTGGTCAGTGTTTTTGTGTGTAAATTTTTTTTTTAATTGTTGACAGTAATCTTACATTTTACCACACTATTTTACTGCAATTATTCAATTAGAATCTAACAATAACTAGAAGTCCACGAATTTGCAAGAATGGTCGAACATAATGACAATCACACATACCTACAGCTACACGGGCAGTTACATGTATGCACATGTATGCATAGATAATAATTTAAATAAACTTAAATGTAAATTATTAATTTAGTGCATGTTGACAAAAAAGACTTGTAGGATAATCCGATTTTTTCAGACAAAAATGAATCCTTTTATAGGACGCCTGAATAATTTCACTTGCACCCATTTTATTCAGTTATTACTTTTTTCAGGTGTGAATGTGGATGTTGTGTTAACATGCCTTCAGCCAATGAGAGGAAGTGCTGCCAATCGACAAACATTGTTGATGGGAAGGCAGAAGCAGAAGGGGTACCCTGCATCACCCTTCATGAGGGGTTCCAGGTAAACTGCCTGAACATCCATGTGTTGGAAACCTCCTATTACGAGTTTGTTCATGACCATGGGCCAAGAGAAGAAAATCAAGAAATTCATGAGTGAGTTGAATATTCAATCAGTGTACAGTAATAAGTATTTGTTTTTCAAAGAAGTTCAACTTCAGTCAATTTCAGTGAATTTAAGATTTTGAATTGACGAGCCCGAATTCCAGTTTTGAATTTATTACTAAATTTTCTTAAAATTTTCACTGGCCCGAACTATTTTTCACTGACCATGGACCACCGGGCCAGTGCTAAAATCGCTGACTGCACCTTAATCTTAACTTTATTTATCAATTTAAAATGATATGTTAGTTTTAAAGAAAGTTTCCTCAAATCACAGGAATATTTGAGCCGTGTCATGACAAAACCAACATAATGGGTTTGCGACCAGCATGGATCCAGACCAGCATGTGCATCCGCACAGTCTGATCAGGATCCATGCTGTTCGCCTACCAACTCTATTACAAGTAGAGAAACTGATAGTGAACAGCATGGATCCTGATCAGACTGCGCGGATGCGCAGGCTGGTCTGGATCCATGCTGGTCGCAAACACACTATGTTGGTTTTGTCGTGACACGGCTCAATTTTATCTAAATGTTAATTTTTAATTATGTTTTCAGGTTGTATCGATACCTTGCCTACAGGCGTTTTACCAGATGGGTCTACGGATTACTTTCAAAGAAGTGTAGGCGTGTTATTCCTGCATGTGCAGTCAACGCCATAAGAACACAGTTCCCTTCAGAGCAATACAGTGGGTTTCAATACCCACAATAGATGTCTCTTTAAATTGTATTGTACATTGTGGAAATAAATTTACACTAGTTTATCATTTTAGTTATTGAATAAATTATTTTCCCCTTCTAAAACCTTTGCAAAGATAGTCAAAATCGATTTTACACTGAAAGCAAACCGTTCAGCAATGAAGCCAAGTAATGTGTCCATGTCCATGTTTTATTGCCACTTATGAAATGCTGACCATCAGTCAATAAATACCCATATGGTGAGTGGTATTCCCATAAGAAAATGTTAAAGTTTGCACCAATGACACAAATTATAATCCAGCTGGTATCCCAAATTATCAAAAATTTAAACCTTTTACCACCTAATGCTCATCTTTAAATGCACATAAAATGACCTACTATACACTCCTTTCTGTAGTGGTCAGTATTAACTGGATAGTATTGATGGAATAGGAAAAAGCCCACAGTCAAGGTAGTACATGTATGTGCCAAGCCTGTCAATTAAATTTTTATTTATTATTATATATCTTACAAACAGGATCTTAAAAAGAACAAACTGTTGAAACTAAAATATTTATTTTCATTTCAAAAAAAGATGCAAACAAGTTGAAAGTAACATTCATGTTCTTCTGTACAAGACACATTGACAAGAGCTGTCTATGAGACAGAGTGCTCAACTAGGGATAATACATGATAGTGGAATAAAAACAATTCCTATAAATTCTAATTCCTAGTATAATAATGAAAGGTAATTGTAATTAAATAATTACTTTAGATTGGAAAAATTACAAATTCATTGTATAAGTCAGATGAATAAAACAATAAGTATGGATAATGCTGAGGAAAAAAGGAGCAGAATTTAAATTCCTATAAAGGGTATTGTAAAATTGTGGTTAAGTGTCACATTAAATGGTGGTGTGGTACAAAAAAATAAACAGAAATTCGAGTCGATTAAGGGAATAATGATTATGATAAACTAACATCTAAGTTATGTTTCTTCCAAAATTTGGGGTGGATGGTAACTAACAAATACAAGTCTAGCGTTTTAAATTATATCTTCAATGACACAATAAAGATTTCACTACAACATATTTGTTAACAAACAAAAAGAGAACATGCCAATGTTTGTGTTTAAATGTATTGTTATTCAAATGAAAGGTCACATAATTGTACATAAACTGTGTAATGCAACACTTTATAAGTTTATCAGTTCAAAAGTTCTCTAGAAATTTAGCATTCATACATTTCACATTTAAGGTCACCTTGACCAGAAAGTATCACACAAAGACAGCATCCCACTTCATTAAGTGCACATGACAAGTAAATAATTACTTGAATTTGGAATATTTCTACTTTTTCTTAAAGCTAAGTACATTTTCTCAAGTTTTTTTTCAAATATTTTGGCTCCTCTGGAGTCATGTAGTTTTAAATTTAGCGGTTAAATCTTGAAATGTGATTTGTCACTAAAGTTGATTTAGGTAAATTAAGTCTTTTTGGGGTACTCTGTTCCAATGGTAATGGTCTTTCTTTGATTTCTTTTTTTTTCACTGGCCATTCTGTATGATGTGTTTCTCAAACGCAGTTCCTTTGCGTACATCATCAAATCTGTAATGTATCCTGAAACAAAATTAAAACTATTATCTTCACATTGACTATGAATGATAAAAGAAGCTATATGTAGAGTTTAGTATTTATACTTTATCAAATGAACTCGATGAAAAGTTGTAGAGATAATTGTACAAAAATGAAATTACTCTTAAAATCAACTAATTCTGTTGTTTTATATTTCCTCTCCTTCGTGGATGCAGTTTATTCATGTCACATAGAAAAACTACGCTTCTACCCATTTCATCTGTGCTGACAAATTACCTGGCACATATCAAAGCTGACGGTACTTTTAAGATATTCATCATGTCAAAGGCTAAAACTCTTCAATAGTATTGATATACAAAGTACTAAAAGTAAGTGTGGCACGAGTTTGACAAATTAATGTATATAGATATATTTTGCCTCCAATGGCTACTTTGCATATAACTTACCAAATGTCTGTTCAGTTTTTACATCCTTGACAACAGGCTCACCCTTTCTGCTTTTTGGATAAGATATTGTGTACTGTTGCACTCCACTCTTGGTTGTCCGTGTATCCCTCCTAGCATTTTCATTAAAGTGGAGTGCACTAACTTTAGACCTAAGAAAATATATTTTGGATAATCATTTTTGCACAACCTATTCAGTTACAAAAAAGAAACAGAAATAAGTCTTGAAGAACAAAAAACTTTGCCAACTCAAAAAACACTTAATATTTTTTATCTTAACCTCACTCAAATGATGCAGATATCAGAAATCAATATTTCTTAACTTATATTAATCACTTTCCAGTCCGCTCCCTGAAACAAACCAGCACTGGTGTCATATGTAGATACATAGTCATGCCCCGAGTAAATGACTCTTGGTCAAATACTTTTTAAGTTATGTGCGACACAAAAGAGAACGGACAGACGGATAAGGGTAAATGTAAATGCCCGCCACTAAAGTGTGGGGAAAAAAGACCTTGATTCCATTGAACTGGATAGCATAGAGAGTGAAAAAGTTACAAATGATGAGTGTCCATGTGATTAAAAATAAAATCAATCAGATATTACATACATTGACATGTAATCTGTTTTCCCTCATAAAACAGTGGGATATTGATCCTTAGTGAAGAGTTAATTATAGCTAGTTAACTAGACCATATCGATATCATACACAAAGACAACTGGCACTGTTTGGTGTATTGTAAGCTAACGAGTTGTATATTGTGAAATGTGATATATTCCAGCACAGTGGGGGTGTCCAGTATAGGACATGTATACATAACAATGAGAGGTAGCATCTATAAGTGTATATATCCACTTAGCCAATGCATTGACTTGAAAAGGCATGATTAATATATATTTCAAGCAAGCAAGATTTTTAAAATAGATTATTAACATAAACTGTTCAAACTAGTTTATACAGCATTATATACTTACCATTATACATAGTAAGCTAAGATAATTATCAAGCTTTAGTATTCACCTGTTATTTAAAGTTAATTTTATGTTTTATTTTGCTTTTGTAAAAAATAAAATAAAAATATGTAGAAATTGAATATGCAGACTTTATACTTGTGATACTGCTGTTTATTTGTTTTCCCATTAATGACAAAACTACTCCTTGGCAGGGTCACCCTAACTGCTTCCTTGGTGTCATTTATAATCAGTATTTAAAACAGTCAAGACTGTGGAAGTTGAATTGAGCTATGATAAGTTTGATTCCAGGCCATAAATTCAATTGAAGATGAAGTAATAATATATAAGAGGGGAGCAGTGGCCTAGTGGGTAAGCAGTCAATGCGAAAGTCAAAAAAAAAATTCCAGCCACAGGGACTGGGATCCTTAGATTTATTTCCGGCTCTGATGATTTTTTTCCCAGCCCGGACTCTGAAAGGTATTTTTTGTAGGGCTGGGGGAGGGATATTGCCATAATTATAAACAAAAATATTTAGCAAATATGAATTATCAGACTCAACTATAAGATACTATGAAAAAAATATGAGCCGTGTCACGACAAAACTAACATAATGGGTTTGCATCCACGCAGTCTGATCAGTATTCATGCTGTTCGCTTACCAACTCTTTTATAAGTAGAGTAACTTTGAAGTTTTGCATATTAATGATATTTTAGATGCCAAAAATTGTTTCAAACTGGCTGAAATTTTTCGGACATGAGGACTGACTGTATCAAAATTTATCTCGGCCCTCCTGATTTTTAGCTTGCGAGGTCCGAGGACCGACAGACTTTCGCATGGACTGGGTTAAGGTGTCTGCCTCTCAACCCTTGGATCATGGATTCGAGCCCTTATCCAAAAATTGGGTCATGTTTCTTCATATGACACCAGTACTGGTTAGATTCAAAAGTGATTAATGTAAGTTGCAAGAACTTGTTTGGTAATCAAGCTTAGATAAATATTAAATGTTTACACAAAGTAATATTTATAGTTTTGATTTGGTAAAGAAAAACTCAGGCTTTCTCAAAAAATGTTTGAAAATGTTTGAAAATGTAAATGTTGACACTAAACCAAAATCAAAATATATAAATAAATTATGCATTAACTTGAAGTCATAAACACTGGAAGACTGTCCACCATGAAAAATGGCTAGTTGCCACTCAACTCCTTTGATTTCTTGCTATTTTTGGTCCAAACAGTCTATACCAGCAGTATTTGATAGTTTTATTGCAATTAATTTAGATATGAAATGAACAACTGCAATCTAAAAATAAAAACCTACTTGATTTTTTCTTTTTTTTTCAAGCAGAACTTCTGAAGAGTGCCTTCTTTTTTGTTGAATTTCTAACCGCTTCCCGGCGGTGACTGAAAAAATGGTGGGCACGGCGTCTGTCTTGAGAGTTCTCCTGAATGTTGCTTTAAAACCAATTGTCTCTAAAAATGATGCACTATGTGTAAATTGATCCTCTTCAAAGTGTAGCGAACACAACCGACTGTTCTTATTTGGTGAATACACTTTGTATTTACTAGCAGAGTTTGCACGACCGATCTTGTTGCACCAAACTTTTCGAAGTTTCTTGTCTTTCGGAAATCGAAAAAAATTCACCTTTTCTCGACCTGAGAGAGAATTACAGCCAAAGGCAGCACACAAAACCATAACTAATCCACATGTAAATATCCAACAACATGAAAATACACAATAAACAAAAATCCGAAGAATGTAATGCCCGAAAAACAAAATTAACTGTCGCCTCGCTAATCATGTATACATGTAATGGCGGACTGACATTTCACCAATGACGTCACAGCGTAGTTTAAACAAGGGAGGTAAGCCACTTAACGAAAAAATAAAATGACGAATAAAAGTCATAAAAACTACCGTTTTCCGGCTCAATATAATAATCAGACAATATTTAACTGATAATATTACCAATTTCTTGTGGAAATAACGTTTAACCGATAACTTCTGGTTTTTCTTTAAATTTGACCTTTAAGCAATATTTTATTTCTATTTAAACAACATAAATATATACAGTAAGCATACACAATCACACTGATA